AGCTACAACAAACCCATCCTCCGCCATCTCCATTCTCAGCGTCACCTCCTCTACCAACGCCGCCCGGTTCAGCTTCTGCTCCGTGTACAACGGCTACAACAACATCAGCACGCCCGCCCGCACCGACTCCAGCACCGCCACCTATGGGGCCCACAACTTCACATTCAAACTCTGGATGTGTTCACAATTATTTCGTTTGAATGTAATACGTTGTGAGAATATTCTAGAAAGTCTTGTACCGACGGATTCCCCATTGAGCAGTGGCGCCGCCACGTCGGACGGCGAGAATGGCAATGGAGGGAAAGACCTGTAGGTCGAGGTGGACGACGGACAGGTGGTGGAAAGGTGATGGAGGGGACGACGGTGGATGTAAGCGGCGGTGGAGCCGGTGTTAAAGGGAGGGACGGTGAGGATGGTGACGGTAGCGGATGGGGATGGTGGAGGATGAGTTTCCGATCTCACCATGGATACAAGGTGGCCATATCCATGGTGGCCATGACTGAGAAATGAGTACAGGTGATGGTGAGGTTGTTGTTATCTTTCTTTCTTTTTTTTTTTTGAAAAAATATTTGAAATTACTACAATGCTCTCAAAAACCATTTTTTCAAGTAAAAATTACTTTTATCCGGTTTAGGGGGCAATTTAACCCGTATAGTTTGAGTGGTGGTTTGTAAAAAAAAAAAATAATTTATATGGTAGTTCGGATGAAATTTTTTTTTTAGCCTATAAATATATATAGATTTAATTTATTTTTAAAATTACATTTTAAGTAAGTAATTCATATTTACCAAAATTTTCTTATACTATTTGCAGTAAATACTATTTAGTTTTCATTTTTATATACAGATTTAAGATTTACAAATAATCCAAGAATGGAAAAAGTAAAAACTTTCGTCAAAACAAATCTACCTAAAATAGATCTCATAATTCCGCTGGATAATAAAGAAAAAAATAATACCTTCCGTAATTTGATTTTTGTTCCGAAAAAAAGATTAAACTTAAAAATCCCGAGCTGGACCACGGCGGAGTCGTTCGTGAACAACCAGCCGCACCACCGTGCCGGAAAACCAGGCTTATTAGTTATTAACTTATTATAAATCAGCGCCACGAATTAGAACCTGAAAAAGGTAATCTATGTGTTATTATGGCTGCTTAATCATTTCAAGCTGTCGCGAATCTTCCTTTTAACTGCAAAATTATTTACCATATTTTCCACTTTCCTTTTACAAAAGGGAAGACGAATAAAACGACGTCGTTTGGACCTTCAATACCCATCATAGGGATTTGCTTCAAACCGTCCTGTTTTTAGGTGATCTAGATTCTGAAGAAAAGGGGGCACTGAGCTGCCTTTCTGAGTACTCTTCGCCGTTAAACGCACAATCGGCCTGTTTTTCCGTGTTTTTTACCGATGGGCTGCACGCAGTCGAAGATCGAAAACGAGGAAACCGTGAACCGGTGCAAGGAGCGCCGGCAGCACATGGAGCGGGCCGTCACGGCCCGGAACAAGTTCGCGGCGGCCCACTCTGCCCACGCCATGTCCCTTAAGAACACCGGCGCCGCCCTCAGCGACTTCGCGCAGGGGGAGGTCGCGTACCCCTCCGCTGCCGCCGCCGCGGCCTCCGTTGCGTCCTCCTCATCCGCCGCCGCCACTGCCGTGGCCGCCAACCCCCCTCCGCCCCTACCCCCGTACGATAACTTCCCGCCCCCTCCTCCTCCCCTCCCCGCCTCCTTCACCAATTCCTCCCCTCTGCAGCGTGCCGCCACCATGCCGGAGTTTGGGATCCCCCTACCTGAGGCCAAACACTCAGATCCGATCATTGAGGAGGAGGAGAGCGAGGAGGAGATCGAGGCCGAGAGCAGCCATAGCCTGAAAAGACGTAGCACCAGCAGCAAGGGTGGTGGCCGAGGAGGGGTTCCCACACCGGAGGTTGTGGAGGATGAAGTTCTACATCACCTGCCACGGAGAAAGAGCAATTCACGTGATCCGGAGCCTCTTCAACAACAGAAACAACATCGGCCGCCTCCCCCACCGGAAAATTCATCCTGGGATTACTTCTTCTCGATGGAGAACGTACCAGGGCCCACACTGGCAGAGGTGGATGACAACAATCTGGAGAGGGAGGAGAATGAGAGGAAGGTGTTTCAAGAAAGGTCTAAGAAAGTGGAAATGAACGGAAAGAGTGAGAAAGTGGAGAAAGAGGTGGTGGAGACAGCAAAAGAACTTCCTCCTCAGCCGCCGCCGCCGGAAGCAGCTATGGCGGCGGCTAAGACCGTGAAAAGAGTGAAACAGGGGGCTCCGGCTGAGGGCAAAAAGAAGGGTGGGGGAAGTAATGTGAACTTGATGCAAATATTTGTGGATCTTGATGATTGTTTTCTTAAGTCTTCACAGAGTGCTCACGATGTCTCAAGGATGCTTGAGGCTACTCGCTTGCATTATCACTCAAATTTTGCAGATAAAAGAGGTTTAAATTCATTTCATAATGATAAAGAATAAGAATGATTTTTTTTTTCTTTTGTTTTCTATCTTTCGTCATTTTTCTTGTTGAAGAGAGTGATGTTTTGTTTGTTGGCAGGGAATATTAATCATTCACAAAGGGTAATGCGTGTCATCACTTGGAATAGGTCCTTCAGGGGTTTGTCTAACAATGATGATGGGTTGGACGACTTTGATTCGGAAGAGCATGAAACTCATGCCACCGTGTTGGACAAGATGCTGGCATGGGAGAAAAAGCTTTATGATGAAGTTAAGGTACTATTACGCTTCCATTCCGTTGTCCCATTTCTTCTTGTTGGAGATTATTAATTAAGTAACATGTTCCTGATCAGTGGCCAAAGTTATGTTTTTTTTCTTATATAAACTTCAATTGTACAACTGACCCCCCAGACCTCAACCAGTTGGGAATATACTGGGTATGTTGTTGTTGTTGTTGTTGTATAAACTTCAATTGTATGTATGTTCTTGATTCTTGAAGGAGATTCTTCTGATTTTAGTCTCTTGTCAGTCTATGTTTGATTAGTATCTATAGGCGCCCTGCTGTAAAGGTCTTGCTAGTTGTTATCACAACTCTTGTTTATTGTCTCTGGAGATAACAATGCATTTTGACCTGCATTGTGTTAGCTTTGTTAGCTTCTTCTGGTCAAATGATTTTCAGTTGGTTGCCATATTTGTGAATTTTGGGCTTCAGTAAAGGGCCTTTCCCTTAATTGCTAGACATTAAGATGCTAGGAAAATCGTAGTTCTAAATTAATGTTCTTACCTTATATATCAGAAGATAAATTGTGATGATCCACAAACTTTTATTTCCTCTTTGATGTAAATTTCAAAGGTATTGGTCTAAATTTTCCTTTTCAGTAAAATGCGATCTACGTTTAATGTCAACTTGCACCAGTTGCATTTCAACATATTTACAACAGATATCATGAACCAATAAACGGTAAAGAGGAAAAAGGAAAATTATGACTCACCATTTCTTGGATTAAAAAAAAACACTCAAAGACATTTAACGGACAATACAAATCGAACCCTTGTAGAAAGTTAAGCTAGACATTGAGAAAACCACAGAATTATGCATTAGATGATATTAAATGGATTCTCTTTCATTCTCATGATCTTCTCCGTTGGTATCTGGGAATGTTTCTTTAAAGAGTACCGATATTGGTCAACTATAAATTGCTGAAGTACAAAAGCAAAAGGCTAATATTGAATTATTGATTGATTACGCATTTCAAGCTCTTGTAGAAAGACAAGATTTTTTTTTTTTTTTTTATTATTTATTTATTTTTAAATAAAACTTATACTGGGTCTTTTGTTGAGTTTAAGTTGTTTTTGGTTTTACTGCTCAACAGGCTGGCGAGCAGATGAAACACGAATACCAGAAAAAGGTAGCCTCGCTGAATAAGTTGAAGAAAAGGAATTCAAACACAGAAGCATTAGAGAAGATGAAAGCAGCAGTGAGCCATCTGCACACGAGATATATTGTGGACATGCAGTCCATGGACTCCACTGTGTCCGAGATCAATCGTCTACGTGATGAACAACTCTATCCAAAACTTGTTGCTCTCGTTGATGGGTGAGTTCTTCTGCACTTATTTATGAAAATATATCCTCTGTATCCTGTCATTCTCCTTTGAAATTTGCATAGACTCCTTTCATTAACAAGTTAACTTTGTGAGGTTGTTGGAAGTAGATGCGTGTAAAAAACGTTGTCTTCACTTTCTCCTTGCAAAAGTGGCACCTTTTTTTGTAATTTTTGTCGTGAAACACAAATGTGGTATTTGACTATTTTCACAAACACTGAGACAAAATGTGACACTTTTTTTCTTGGGCAAATTTCTCATTTTAAACAACAACTTTTATGTTTTTTTTTTTTACTCTTCATATATATATTTATTTAGTTTTCAAATTTTCTTCTGAATATTTCGACTCCTGGTGATGCTCGACCGGCGCAGAATGGCCACAATGTGGGAGACCATCCAAACACAGCACGAGAACAAATCCAAGATCGTCCAAGCTCTCAGACACCTCGACATTTCCCAATCCCCGAAAGAAACAACCGACCACCACCACGAGCGAACTCGCCAGCTGTGCGGTGTGGTCCAAGAATGGCACTCCAACTTCACCGAGGTCATGTCTCAGCAGAAAGAATACATCAAGGCCCTCAACACCTGGCTCAAGCTTAACCTCATCCCCATCGACACCAACTGGAAAGAAAAAGTCTCCTCCCCTGCCCGGGCCCACACCCCTCCTATCCAGGCCCTACTGCACGGATGGCACGATTACCTCGAAAAGCTCCCGGACGAGCCTGCTCGGGCCAGCGTGAACAATTTTGCAGCTATAGTGAAGACGATATGGCAGTACCAGAAGGAGGAGCTCGAGCTGAGGGCCAAATGTGCCGAGTCGAGAAAGGAGCTGGGAAAGAAAACGAGAGAGTTCGAGAACTGGGCCAACAAGTACATGCAGAAACGGGCGGGTATGGATGAGGCCGGTCCTGATGGGGTAAGGGATGAGGAGCTCGTTACGGAGAAGCGGATGGCAGTGGAGGCTGCCAAGCAGAAGGTGGAGGAGGATGAGGAAGCTTACCAGAAGCTTTGTGTTCAGGTTAGGGAAAAATCGCTGATGAGTTTGAAGAGTCACTTGCCTGAGCTTTTCCGGGCCTTGTCTGATTTTGCACTCGCTTGTTCGGACATGTATGGTTATTTGAGGTCGATCGCGCATTCGCGTGCTAGAAACGAGGCTTGAAGGCATACTTTTTTTCAAGAAAAAAAAAAAATGAATATATGTATTGTGCAATAATTGGTTCTCCTTGGTTGTGATTTTTTTTTTTTTTTTTTTTTTTTTTTTTTTTNNNNCTTTATGTTTAGATAATTGTAGGGATTAATTGAGTCTATTTATTTGGAAGTCTTGCGTTTGTGTTATGTGTATAGTATGTATAGCCAGCATAATCGGATTGTGATTTTGTTTTTATATTATTTTCTTGTGTTTTGTACTCTATTCATGCAATAGAGCACCAATTTGCAGTTGTGTTTGTTTATGGTCATTGAACCATACGATTATATGCTTTGAGTGACAACATTGAAATGGATTTTATGTTTGATTGATAAAAATGTGTGAAATGTTAATGATGATTGTCTTGTCTTCTTCAGATGGTTTTGTTCACATGAAATAATTTGTAACTAGACAAAAAGGCGACTTGTTTGTTCTTCTAACCTTAAATCTCAACACGTCTTGGAGTTTATTCATAATAATAATAATAATAAAATAATAATTGTGACCAAAACATCAAATAAATTCGAAGTCAAACAAATGCAACTTGTCGTTTCTTCACCACTTGTTTATTTGCACTGGTGTCTTCTAATAAGGCACAACACAACAATCATTGGCTTCACCACCACATAAGTCTCTAACCAATAAAATTTGCCTGAGCTATACATAATTTGCACGCGGTACCACGGCAAAAAAAATTGATATGAAAATTTCCTTAGCCAAAAAAAATAAAAAAAATAAAAAAAATCATCTAATATGTCAAATGTCAATTTATTATTAATTCATTTTGTGTTTCATAATTTCACACCGTCCAATAAAGAATTTTAATGAGGCGAGCTTGGGTTCCTAGTACTTGAATTCGGGGTTCATGTTTTTATCGAGCAAAATTCAACTCTTATGACTCAATTTTGGATTTGAGTCTTAATTAATCGAGTTGAGGGCTAAACAATTAGATAAATTTGTTACGTACCAATATTAACTAAACAAATTCAAATATTAACTAGTCGAGCTCCAACAATAAAATTTTATTTGTTTGGTATATAACTTAAGCCTCTCTAATTCTAAAAAGCATTATATATGCGTGTTTCTGTAAACACTTCGCGTGTATTAAATTCTTATACGTACGCGCGTGCACGAAACGAAATGACGACCGCGAAACATGCAGATGCGACGACGTTTCATCAGCCCCTCCTCTCGGAACCACACCTACCCCCTCAAACCCAGCCCCAACCCACCCAATACGTCATCGTTCTGCCTCCCTACCCTCCGCCCAACAGCCACCGGCTCCTCCGCAAGACATGGCGGCGCTGCATATTCTGCTCCGCCGCATCCATCATCTTCCTCGTCGCCGCCGCATACCTCCTCTGGCCCTCCGACCCTGACCTATCCGTCGTCCGCCTCCGCCTCGACCGCCTCCACTTCCACACCCGCCCCAAGATCTCCGTGGACGTCACCATGGACCTCACGATTAGGGTTTTCAATAAGGACTTCTACTCCTTGGACTACGACTCCCTGCTCGTCGCGATCGGGTACAGGGGGAAGAAGCTGGGGCACGTGACGTCGGCCGGCGGGAGCATCGAGGCGCGCGGGTCATCGTACGTGAACGCCACGCTCCAGCTCGATCGGGTGGAGATTCTGGGGGATGTGGTGCTGCTGCTCGAGGACCTGGCGAAAGGAGTGGTGATGTTTGATACGGTGTCGGAGATTGGTGGCCGGCTAGGGATCGTCTTCTTTGAGTTACCACTGAAGGTATAAGCCTGCTCTTCTGTGATTATGATGCAATTGATACTGAAGCCTATTTTTTACTTCTCATCAGGTGAATCCTTGATTGAATAAAAACCTGATGTACTCTGATTTTCTTATTTTGAGTTCTGACTGAACTTCAAGGAAATATGAGTACATTTTGATACAGTTCAATGGTGATTTCTGGTTTCTGAATCAAATTTGGAATTAAATGTGTATGCTGTATTAATGTGAACTTTGGTCGGCTTCAACTGAAAGAGATAATTTTACTTTCAGTTCCTATGTAAAGTCACGGGTTTTTATTCGTCCGATCACACACACACACACACACATGCATGTTGGTGTTGATCCAAGGTTAAAAACCCAACAGGGGTTGGGTGAAATTTACCGAGATTATGTGGGCTTGGTAAAGCTGTTAGATCATCCTTAATTGTTACATACTAGAGGTTTAGGAACTGTTTCGAGTTTATAATCCTGCACAATATGGTCTTTCATTTTCCAGATACCCATATTGATATATCGCTTTTTCAGTCCGTTTATTATTTTCTTCCTTAGTCTGGACTAGAACGAGAAAAGGACAAGGAACTAAGCAATTATACAGTAAAACACCAGAAATGCAGGAATTTTTATGTCTCGACTGGACCGTGTAAATTTTGCTTTTGAAAATGACTAATAGCAAGCATGAAACTGGGGTTCGACTTGTCGTTTGTTGACAGCATAGAGAGAAGTTTTTATTATACGATTCAATAATCAACAAATTAAATTCATGAGTTATGCTAAGTTGGCCGAATGGTTTACAGTACGAGTTATCGAATAAACAAATGGCATGCATCCAGTTTTTTATCCATAATAATCTTGCCCACACATAAATCAGTAAGCCAATCGGTGAACGATTTTGGCAAAGTAGATTAATTCTTAAATCATTGTGGTGTGTTTGGTACTTCGCCATCCTGCTTGTTTCTAGTTGTTTCAGCATTTGTCCACAGTGCTTGTGTGTGTATCCTCTTAATCACAGCTTGTCTCAGATCATGATTTCTTAATAAATAGTTGCCATACATATCTAATCCAAGTATCTTCATATTGCTGCCATCATGATGTCTGCAGACGAAGATGACATGTGAAGTGATTGTAAACACGAGGAACCAAACAATTTCCCATCAGAATTGCTACCCAGAGGTAAGCCTGGGTTTCTTAGTGATTGTAAAATAGGTAAAGTTGACCATTTTAATTCTTTAATTATGAATGTTAATGTAAGGTAAGAAGGATAAACATAAACTTCATTGTTTGTTTATTCTGTAGAAACTGCAAAACTGTACACTTCAAACAAACAGACAATTATATGAAATCGCAGTGCAAGTTTCATCATTTGATTATCAATTTAGAGTAAATTGACATTGTAACTAGACTATGTTCAATGATAATCAGATGGAATTTTTAATTTGTTGTTTTTAATGCTGCCGCCATGTGATTACTTACAGGTTTCTGAAGTGAAATAGGAGAGGTACCATTCTCATGTCCACATATCGGTGAAGAATGCGAAACCATTTTATTTCCCATGTAATTATATACTCCATTGGTATGATATATTTGTATAGTCGTATTGTTTCACTCGATTATTCTTCTTCCATTTGGTTATGGACACAAATTAGACATTTTATGTGTACAACTTCTCGGCATGATTCTGTTACATAGCGTCTTTTAAAATGTCTCTGCTTGTCTTTATTATCTTTTGTCATGTGACTTGCATTATCAAGACTAAAACATTTCCCTCTTATATTGTCAATTTGAACAAGGAACATTGTATTAGTTGTTTTCTCCACCGAACAACCGTGCAGTAAAACTTAGAATCTTATGAAATCCAAGAACAACTTATGGCCACACAATTCACTAGGGATACAAAAAGTTGCATTTGCTCTTTTACTTCAAAAGACATGTTTCTATGTTCTTACTAGACTGGCTCGGGTTTGACCTGACCCGACTAACCCATTGATAATACTCTTCATGATGTTGTCTACACCTAAACGACCCAGGATGGCTTGTGGGTGAACACACGCATGCTTTTTTTCTTCCATCACCATCCTTAGCAGAGCTGTTATCTGTAATAGTATTAGCCATTGCAGGTTGTGTTGCAGCCTCTCCTCTGATCCTAGAAGAACCAGTCGAGTGGTAAGCTTCTAGCTGGTATGAACATGAACTGTGAGAATGAAATATAGCTACAGAATGAAGAATGGGATTTATATAGGTGGCAAAGCAGCAAAAAATTGGGATTAGGCCAAAAAAAAAAAAAAAAAAGATTGTGGGGTTATTAATAAAAGAGTTTGGCTATATTGTTTTGTTTAAGAGATAAGATATGCTTTCGGCTTCAGGCTTTTTCTGCAAACAGGTAAAACTTATCCTACAAAAAAGGGACATTGAAGAAAATGGCAAAGGCTTTTCTATATCTTTCTATGGCCAAATTTTTGGGTGGTGAAAGGATTTCGAATAATTGAATTGAATTGAATTTGTGGGGTACATCTGATCTGATCTGATATGCATCACAAAGTGATGGGCTCAACTTTTTGGATCAACAATTAAACGGGCCTTTTGTAGAGTTGTAATTCATATGGGCTTGAGTTGTCTTATGGGTGGGCCACTACAACAGCTACATACTATGGCAGCCTACTTCGTTGCTTTTTACCCCAACCCAAAGTTGTCCGTCAGTAGGTCAGTCGGTGAATGCAATTTTGTTTTGTAATTTGAAACTTCAGAATGATAAACTTGTATCTATGATCAACTTATCAAATTATAAGGTGAGTCAATAATTGGTTACCCTCTCTTGATTTGACCTTTATAAAGGAAAAAAGAAGCCCGAATTACAGTTAAGAGTAGCAAATAACACAATCTCAATAATGTATATTAATGCTACTAAATGACATTTTAATTTATTGTTGTTTTTGTAGATAATGTAATTTTAGTTCCAAAATAAGAAATATTTATTAGAAAGTTATAGTAATCCTAATTGTTAGTCAGTCCACAACTCTATTACTAATAGGAGTGTTGTTCGAGATGAGTAGCTCAAGTTCAAGTTTTTGCTCGATTAATAAACGATCCAAAGCTCTTCTTGAGTTTGGCTGCTTTAAGCTTGTTTAATAATTTATAACCTTAAACTAGTTGTTCGCAAACATAAAATGTTTGTTTGAGAACAAGTTTGACTCGACTATTTCATTTAACATTCATAAAAAACAATAATAATTGCTATAACACCGATAATAGCTGGCCGACCGGTCAAAGTGATTAGCTCGGTTTAACCGTTTCGAAATAGCTTCTAACTTGATAGTAAGGTTTGACCTTGTCAAGAAGCTCGATATGATAGATCGAGATACAGGTCAGCCGTAGTTACAGGCTAGAAAGTTGGCTCATGCAGGAGCTCGATCAAGGAAGGGGTTGTGGTCGACCTTCAGTTCGTGTAACAAATGTAGTATATGGGACCTAATAAGTATATCTTGCTAAAGAATAGAAAATATGAGAGACATGTTGTACTAGGAAACAAGATAAGAGAAGAGCCCTTTTCCATAAGGAGGTTAGGTGTGTGAGAAGACAACCCCCTTATAAAAATAAGTTATCAGGTTCTTTTAAGAACTTAACGGATATTGCACATTAAATTCCCCATTTTACAAAGTTCACGAGCGAGGTCTAACTTGAACATCAAAAGTTTTGTCGTTGGGACGCATTCCGGCGTATTTTGCAAGTCATTGGAGGTCAAGTCGAAGGAGGACTCGTGAATTTGTTGGTTAAAAATTTTTGAGCCTAGCAGGAGCTATTGTATTTGACAATTTTTTTATCGAGTCGAGTTCGAGCCTCGTAAATTGAGTTCGACGAGCTCGAACTCGAGCAGCTAAAAAAAAAAAATTAGGTCCTTCTCGAAAAGATCAATGTTTGACTCGACTCGGCTCGCTTGCAGTCCTAAACGTTACTACTTTCTTTCTAGAGTATATTATCGGAGGTTAGTTAATTGATGCAAGGCCACCCTCGTCAGGCATAGACTTTAAAATCATTACCATGTCAAAGAATAACACGCTTTATAATTATTTTTAACGTAAAGGTTTTTGCAGTTTTTGAATTAAACTCGAAAGGCACTAGCAAAACAAATTCTTTCTAATATTAAATGCTGAGATGATGATAAGGACAAAAGGTGGAATTAAAGGGGAAAAAATGATGCAAGAAGCACCAATTTGATGTTATCCTCTCTCTTTTATTTAGGCTTAAATTAAATCATGATGATCAACAAGTAAGTAAAAGGATGGTATCTACTACTCAAGAGTGCTTGGATGAGATGACTTGAGTCTCTTTCAGCTTAACCAGTGGTCTCGAGTTCGAGCCCTGGGAATGCAGCAGTGTTAAAACTCTTGAGGGAGAGCTTTGCCGCCCTTGTGGTCCTACCCAGCTCGATTTCGGATTAATCGGTTCTCTTGTGGATCCGGAAACCGGAAGGTCCCTGTACCAAAAAAAAGAATGGTATCTACACACACATTTGGTGCACCATTCACTAATATGAAAAATTTGTACATTAATTTGCATTAAGTGCCAACTTTTTTATATATGGTGAAATAAAAATATATATTATCAATGAATTTAGTTTTATAGTAATTAACTAAAGGAAGTGTATGTATGTATGTATGTATGTATGTATGTATGTATGTATGTGCCAATTCTCATTTCAAATAAAAAATTGATTTTAGGCACATAACCTTTTCACTCATATAAACCGGCCGGTGAGTCGTCAAATGGGAAATAAATTAATAATGAAAGTATCAATAACACCATTTGCACTTTGATACTGAGCTGTTCAAACAAACCAAAGGGCAGATCTAATTCCATATTGAAAATCTGAAATTAATAAAAAAAAAAAAAAAGGAAGAGAAAATGCTGGTCAACGCTCTGCACGCCAAATAGTTTTCGATATTACAAACCATCATCTCTATTTGAAAATTCCTGATCTTCGCAGCTGATCTTGGTCGAGTGGACTTCACATACTTGAAGGCTCCCCCACGGAGTGAATGAAGCCTAGCTTGAACATGATGTTCTAGGGGTAGCTTACCCTCGAAATATCGTAGACTAAAGCTTTCGCCTCCTTATTTGTACCAAGAAAAAAAAAAAAATCGTGATCTTGAAAGATATAAAAAATTTTAAGCGCCGGCAAGAATTGAAATTATATAGAAGCTAATCTAATTTTAGAACAACATATAGTAACAACTTCTGTAAAAATAAAAACGTACGTACATTGGTAATTTGCAAAATTTGTAGAATATATGAGTTGAACTCTTTAATTACAAAAATAAAAGTAGAATAAAAATATTAAAAGAAGTGATCATCATAAGATTCTTCACAAGTCTACCCCGATGACTTTTTTGAATCAAACTCGGCCTGCCCCCAAATGACAAATCTACCCCTAGATTTGTCGCATGCGTGTTTGTTGGCCATCATATTTGCACATCCCGTGAAAATTATTCTATTACTACACCATTCAACACTATTTTTGAAGCAAAAAGAAAAGAAAAAAAAAAAGACAAATATTTATCTTCCTATATATATATATATATATATTAATATCACCACTCCAAAATCATCTCTAGTCTCTATTTCCACACACAATACACTACACAACACTACACTACAAAAACTCATAGTAAAGACAATATATAGTTTTGAAGAACCAATGGAAGATCAAGACAAATGGCACAATCTGAGGCATGACAAAGATGCAGCGTGCTGGCCGCGCCCGCGAAGCCATTCTACTCTAAAATACGACCGTTTCGTGCCGTACGGTGACATGGCGGCGGCTGCTGTAAGAAGGCCGAATAATAATAATAATAATAAATCTTCCATTTTGACACAACTATGGAGGAAGTTGAAGAGAGAAAATAATAAGAGAGTGTTCCGTTGTTCGAAATCGACGAGGTTCACTTACGACGAGCATTCTTACTCGCAGAATTTCGATCCGGGCTTCCTTTGTGCCGACCCGGATGACCTGTCACGTTCGTTTTCGGCCCGGTTCGCAGTATCCTCGAGAATCTTCGAGAAACCGAGATTGATGGTGTGAATTAATATTGTTGATCAAATGGAAAATGTGAGGAAAAAAAAA